ACTGGCTGCACCAGTTGGCTCACCGGCGCCAGCCCTAGGTTTATGCAGGTACCAGACGCATGCGTAGGCACTGGCGGGTTCCAGGCCAAAGTTGGGCAGAGTCCAGCATAGCTTAAATTACCTCGTCCCCGGCTCATGTGTCACAGGGCGCACATCTTCACCCCGAGTCACGCCCGAGAACGTCGGACAGGTGGATATTAATAGTACCGCGCACTAGATACAATGAGCTTGGATAGCGTTCCGTCCCTCCCTGCAAGAAAACAAAATATGCATCCACGTGATGACATCACCACCTGGGGCCGGGTAGCATGCGCAAAACACGAGGTCAGGCGTGGCTGCGTTTGCACTGTCCTTCCATATAGCAAACCATCGGGTCCGCGGGCTAGGGAAATCAACAAGCGACCACAATGCACCAAGAAGTGCTCCGAGCGCGTTCCCCGAGCCACGTGTAAGGGAAGTCTAGCAGGAGACAGGCGCCAGGTGGATTGCGGGCGCCTGGCCATCCTCAGATATCCACTCCTCGTTCGACAAGTGCGCGCCCCACGGCTTCCAGCCTTCAGTCCAGCAGAGCCTCAGGGCCTAACGCAAGGAAGCCCGTTCTGCGTGGGTTGAGGGTGGCAAGATACAAAGAGGCACAAGGGTCCACAGCAGGCGGTTTATGCATCGCAAAAGCTGACGCTTCTAGCTCCGTAATGGGTCCCGCTTACGGGGGCGCTATGGGACGCCCGGGAGGTCCCACCTCCCAGAGGGGTATCGCCACCCCCTCCCATATGAAACGGCGGAGACCGTGCACGAATTTGGCCAAATTGTCAGCACTCACGACAGGGCGACTTAGCAGCCCCCTTATCCCGGCTGGAGTTGTGCTTGCTCAGTGTGGCTGGCACCTGCGGCTTGGGACCACGATGGTGGAGCGCACCATCCTGTCCTTCGTTCGCGCTCAGTTCCAGAAGGAGGGGCACCCAGCCCGAGCCATGTTGGCCCTGGCGGATGGACTAACAGCCAGCACTTGGGCAAAGTGTCTGCTCCCAATTGGCTGCTCTCTCTCCGCCTATCCCGCGCGTCACCGAATGCCCCCACTTTGGGTCACACCCTCTCCACACGGTGCGGGCAGACCCACGGGTGCATAGGACGGCCCTTCGGCGGTATAAATTTGAGTTTGTGCGCCCTGCCAGGGTGGCGGCTGATTTGGCAGCGTCCAAACGAGCGGCCTCTACGGTTCGGCCTGTTCTGGAGCGCCCACTTTCAGGGCTCCAGGCCTGACCCGCACACCGCCCTGCGGAATTCTTGCGCCCAGACGTTGGCCCGCCCACGTGGCCAATGATGCGGCTTTGGGCTACTGTACGCATGACAGGGTGTTGGCCATCCCCGGTGTTTGGTGCTCCGACCTTGCCACCACGCCTGGCAAAGTGCGTTGCGTGCGGGGCTCAGGAAGTTGATGTGTCTCACGCCCTCCTTCAGAGCCCTGCCTCAACTGACCTGCGGATAACGTCGTGGCCAGCGATTGCCCTGCAAGCGGTATGGAGCAGGAGGAGCAAGAGGGGCAGGAGGAGCAGGAGAACGAGGAAGAGGCAGCGACGGAGGAAGACGAGCAGAAGCGGCCCGAGGCTGGGCCAGAGGCCATGATGATGATGATGATGATGATGATGATGATGCTGATGATGATGATGGTGATGATGAGGATGATTATGAGGATGATGCTGATGATGATGATGATGATGATGCTGATGCTGATGTTGATGATGATGCTGATGATGATGCTGATGATGATGATGATGGTGATGATGATGATGATGGTGATGGTGATGATGATGATGCTGTGTTTGCTGATGATGATGATGATGATGATGATGCTGTTTTTGCTGATGATGATGATGATGATGATGATGATGATGATGATGATGATGATGATGATGAGTATGATGAAAGTGACGATTATGACGATGAAGTGATGATGACGACGACGACAACGCTGCTGCTGCTGCTGCTGTTTTTGCGGATGATGATGATTATGATGAGGGTGATGAGGATGAGGATGATGATGAGGATGAGGATGAGGATAAGGACGAGGATGAGGATGAGAATGAGGATGAGGATGAGGATGATGATGAGGATGATGATGCTGATGATGATGATGCTGATGATGATGATGCTGATGATGATGATGATTGTGATGATGATGATGATGATGATGATGATGATGATGATGATGATGATGATGATGACAATGATGATGATGATGATGATGATAATGCTGCTGCTGTTTTTGCTGATGATGATGATGATGCTGCTGTTTTTGCTGATGATGATGATGCTGATGATGATGATAATGATGAAAGTGACGATGATGACGATGAAGTGATGACGACGACGACGACGCCGACGCTGCTGCTGCTGCTTTTGCTGATGATGATGATGATGATGAGGATGGGGATGAGGATGAGGATGAGGATGAGGATGAGGATGAGGATGAGGATGAGGATGAGAATGAGGATGAGGATGATGATGACGATGACGATGACGATGACGATGATGATGATGATGACGATGACGATGACGATGACGATGATGACGATGATGATGATGATGATGATGATGATGATGATGATGATGATGATGATGATGATGATGATGATGAAAGGATGAGGGACGGAAAAAAAAGGCTGTGTTCACCCAGCTGCTGCACGGGACCGTCCTGCCCAGAGACGCGTCCGTCTTCGACTTCCTGCGGGCGGTGTCAAGGTGGTGCGCCCTTTGGGAAATGACCGAACAAGCCCACAGGTGGTCCTTTCCTGTTCGGTCCCCCCTGCCCCCTATCCTGTCTCCTCCACCTCCGCCCTGCCGCATGCACGCGCACTGCTGTCTGTATCACACTGGCATGACCTGGAGACCCTTCTGCGGTCCGCCGCTGGAAATCGCACCGTCTCTTAACCGCGGAACGATTGCGCTAGCGCCTCCGCACTCTTGGCCGCCGGTGCCTGGACAACCGCAATCAATTGCTCAGCCCTGGCCTTCCTCATGGCTCCTTTTTCTCCTTCCTGTTGGCTGCTCGCCCCGCCCCTCCCTGCCACTCTCCACCTTCATTCTCCACCTGGACTTGCGATGATTGGCATTTCGTTTGAGAGCTTCTGTGCAAGAATGTCCGTCTGGGGCCGAGGCCCCCAGCGTTCGGGGCGCCCCCCAGAGCGAAGCAGCCCGATGAGCCAGATTGGGCGACCTCTTGGTTGCACACCCCAGCCCAAACAAAGCCAGCCCGCGGTAGTTGTAGACACTTATTTGAACGGGGGCGCGAAAGAGGAACAGAGCACTTCATAACATTGACTCATCTTGTGTGTACCACCTCGGGCCAAGAACGTCAGGGGCTGAGGATTTTTCCCCACTTTCGCAGAAGAGATTGTGTTGTTTTCAATGGCGCGCTACCCAGAGAAAACAAAAGAAGGTGTTTGGTTTCCAGCGTCGTACTATCCAGAGAAGACAAGCTTTTCTAATGGCTTCGCAACGTCTGGCCTTATGTGTCCAGGATGGCACTTTGGATCTGCCTGGGAAGGAGCTTGAGGTAACATCTTACGTGCCACGTGCTTCCCGCGCTGCACAAACCGCCCCGAGGGGAGGCCCAGAAGCAGCGTCTGAAGAGGCACGAGACGACACGGCAAGGCTTGCACTGCAGGCTGCTCCGCGGAGGCGCCGTTGATTTTGCGCCACACTTTTCGCGTCTCAGGCTGCGCAATGAGTTGCGTCAGAGGCAGTGCCACGGGCTGTTGCGCCGCAGGCTATTGCTCTGGAGGTTCCCCGGGCGCCCCGGGCAACAGAATCATGATCTGGTCCGCTCTGTCTCCAGTTTGATGAACCCTCAGTGCGCTCACAAACTACGTACCCAATCGGCACGCCCTGGAATCCGCCTACTTATAAGGCACCCTTTGGGTTTTCAGAGGTTTGTTTGGAGGGCCAACTGACGACAACGACGATGATTGTGATGGTGTCGATGCTGGCGATGCACTCGCGAGCTGGTGGCGATGCATGATGACGATGCTGCTGACAACGCATGATGGCGATTGTGACGGCGACGATGCATGGAACAATGCTGGTCCTGAGCAGGGCATCGCAAACAGGCAGCGCACCATCAGGACACCATCAACATACCATATGGATGAGCACCTGGAGACACTATCGGGACACCATGGGGACACCGTCGGGACACCGCCATGAAAATCTGTTGATAGATGTCACTATTGATCTCACCTTCGGTCACTCTTTCAATTTACCAGTATGGCTATCAATCGCTCCCACTATACATCTCGCAGTCGATCCCACCATCTACCCATCGGTATCACTATCGATCGGTCTTTCTATCCATCGATCTCCATATACATTGATCTATCGATCTGACGGGACATCCATCGGGACAACCATCGGTACACCATCAAGGCATCATCGAGACACCCTTGACACCATCTGGATACTATCGGGACGTAAGGTCCTTACTGTCCGCTTCTAGAGCCACTCTTCAATTCCTACCCCAAACTACCGCAAATTTTCATTTCATGTCACTTTATACCGGAGAGGCGGGGTCCAGAACGCCGCGCGCGGTCGCGCGCCGCCCCGCCCCCCCGCGCGCGGCCCGCTCAGGTCGCAGCCGCCCCTGCGATCCCGGGCAAGGGCCACGGGGCTGGCCCCGTCTCGGGCAAGGTCTTTCACCTCCGTCGTGGGCCAGTCCAGGCGCCGCAGCAGGCAACGGCGCACTGGCCCCGTGGCCCGCGCTACCCCTCCTTGGCGCGCACCTTGGAAAAGAACGAGGCACCGCCCCTGCCCCCCCCCGGCCGCAGACGGCACGGAGACGGGCAACGGCAGGGAAGGTACACGAAGCGGCGGAGGGTAAAGGGAGGGGCAGGAGGCACCACAGGGTGGCCAGGCAAGGGGGGACGGAGCGGCTGCTGCCCCAGACGGGCGGTGCTGGGCGGCTGCACTGGGCCCCTCGGGCACGCAGACCGAGGCCCGTCCGCGCGTCACGCGGCCTCCCTGTGGCAGAACGCGCGCGGGCCGATCGAATCATGCAGGGCGCGCGCCACGAAGAGCACGCGGTGCCATCTCTGTTCGGGCGGCGGCCCGTCGCGGAAGAGCTGGTACATATACACGCCCGCCTGCGACAGCGGCGGGAGCAGGGCGCGGGTCTCCAACTCCGCGCGCCGCATAGTCTGCCCGGGGCACCCGCAGAGCGCATAGGCTATGTCGACCTGCAAGGCGCCGCACGCAGCACAGCGGGCCAAGGTGACAGGGAGGGACGGCACGCCAAGCACAGGAAGCGGCCATGCCCCGGACATGCGCGCCACGGCCCACATGCGGAACTCGCGCCACAAATGCGGCCCAAAGTCCAGACAGAGCATGCCCACCGGTAGCTAGTGGGGTTCAGGGACAAGCGCGGCATTGGACATACCGAGCGCGGGCAAGCGGGCGCACGCGGCGCGCTGGAACGCCGCCAAGTCACGCGCCCTCAGGGCCAGGCGGACCACCTGGAGTTGAAAGCTGCGCAGCAAGGATGGACGCAGCTCCACCGAGCAGCGGGCGTTGCGCAGCGCGTGGCGGAACGCGGGGTGGACGTCAATGTCCAGGACTGGCGGCGTCTGCTCCACCCTGCGGCACGCTGCGACGCTCGCCCAGGTGGTGCACGAAAGGGAGCGCGCCAAGGAAAGCATGCGGGCGCCAGGGTGGTCAGCAGGCTGCGCCGGCAGGCGGGCGCCATGATTGCACGCTCGAGCATCCGCGTGCCCAAACGGCACGTCCAGCCGCATTGCACAACAGCCACCTCGGCAGGGACGGGGGGGGGGGGCCAGTGGCGCACGCGAGAAGACGTCTGGCCCACGTGGCCTGCATGCGGTTCAATCTGCATTCAGCGCGCTGGGCCAAGGGCAAGAAGGGGGAGGGGTAAAGGATGGCGGCCTCGACCCGGAGAGGGACCTGCGCAGAAAGCACTGGGAGGCCGAATCCCCCGCTCTCCCCGGCGTAGAAGAGCGCCTCGAACAACGCGCGACCACGGGCTAGAGTTGAGCGCAACAACGGTTGAAACGAGAGGTCGGCATCAAAGAGGGCGCCGAGGACTAACTTATGGTCTACTACGGGGCAGCCCACCCAGCCTGGGTTTGGGCTCCGAGCCACGGCCAAGCACGCGCGAACCGACTGCATGCAGAGTCCGGCTCGGCGGAGACGACGGCACGGAGAGCACCCGGGGACGGGCGCACAACGGACAGGTCGTCCGAGAACTGCAGCGGCTGCAGGTGGCCAGTGCCGAGTGCGTCATGCACGGCGGCGCGGTCGGCTTCAGTCGGCCCCCCGCTCACCCACCCGGCCAGTTCCGCCGCGGCACGTGGCCCCGGCGTGACCTCGCCCAGTGCTGCGGCGGAGACCCTACCTGTGACGTCCGCGGCAGCAGCGACGGAGGGGGGCGGGGGAGCCCAGAGGGGGAAGGGAGGGGCGGGGTCGGCGCCAACCGGGCAAGCGCGCCGGTACAACGCAGGGACCCAGGCTCGCCCGCGCCTGCAGGTCCTGCCCAAGGGCCTGGAGCATGGCATCCGCGCTCAGGGCCTGGCCAGTGGCAGGGTCAGCGAGAGCGATTCCAAACCGATCTTGCGCATTAAAGCAGGAAGACAGATAACGCTCCGCGGCGCCCGGATTCGAGGCCCGAAGTTGAAGGAAATGCTGGGCCGCACCCCGTCGGGCATCCCAGGCCGCCTGCGTAGCTGCCCTCTGAAACGCCTGGCGGTCGGAAAAAACCGACCGAGCCGGCCCAGCAGGCCGGCGTCGCTTGCGGGACGCCGCCGACGACACCGCTCGGGCGACCCCCGCCGCGTGGCCCACAAGGGTATATCACGCGTCCCGCGACCACGCGGCCACATCCAGCAGCGCACGTCGCTGGGCCACACAAGCCTGGCCCCCGCTCCACGGGGGGCGGGGCCACGGCGCATGCACGCATAGCTCAACCGAGGACGCTGCAACCTGGAGAAGGGCATGATCCCACTGGGAATCTGCGCGCCAACTGACCCGACCGAACCCCGCGCGCGTGGAGCGGTCGCACTGGCACGCCAGCGACCAACACAGCAAGCGATGGTCAGAGCACATCGCCACGGCCCCCTTCACAGTGACCGAGACCGCCTGGCCCGGGCCCGCGAGAACGAGATCGATGCACGTACCTGAATCACGCGTGGGCACCGGCGGGCTGCTTGCAAAAAGCCCGGCAGCAGAAAGCATCGCCTCGATGGTGCGGTCGCCCTGAGACTGGCGGCAGTGGCAGCAGCTGCAGCCAGGCTGGTGCATTAGGATGTCAGACAAGTGGATGCTCGCGTCCCCCGCGACGAGAAAAGAGGCATGCGGGGAACGGCTCCGCAGCCTGGCTAGCGCGTCGAGGATCGCGCTCCACGTGGCCACGTCGCCCCCCGGCGCAGGGCAAACCGCGGCGAAAACGAGCGCTGGCCCAGGCACCTCGGCAGGGACGCGCGCCGACGGCCAGACTTCACACCACTGGGCGCGCGGAGAAGAAAAGTCTGGCAGAGGGCGGACTGCTGGGACTAATTCAGTCCTGAGGAAAATCCCGACAGCAGCCCTGGAGGCAGAGCGTTCGCCAAGCCAGCAGTAGGGGTATCCTGGCGGCAATTCCGCCCCTGGGGGGAAGCGCGCTCCCGGGGTGATAACAGATATCAATGTCCTCATCGTGCAGAAACTGTGCCATCGCCAGCGCCAATCTAGTAGCGCGTCCGTGCTCAGGCCAAGAAGGCCAGCCCGGCCCGGATAGGAAACAGCCGTACGCAAGAGCTGCTGGTCGGCCTGACCGTCGGACGGGGTCGCTACTTCGCGGCCAGCGGCCACAGGGATAGGCCCTGAGAACGGTGAGATCACCGGCGCCGGGCGCGGCGCGGCAGGCTGCAAGGGGGGGGTGACCTCATGGGCCAGACAGGTGCGCACCTGCCTCCCCAGGTCAATCAAAGGCCCAGCCTCGCCTTTTCCCTCTGCGGCGAGCTGCAGCGGCGGTGGAGGCGCGCACGCGAGCAAGGCGAGCACGTCACAGAGCGCCGCCCCCCGCTCCAGGCGTTTGGTTTCCACGCCTATCCAGCGGTTCACCAGGTCACGCAACGCCGTCAGCGGGGCGCCGCTGCTGCCGGCAGACATGCGCCCCCCGCCCTCCCGGCGCGAGCTGGCACCAGCGAGGTCAAGCAATGCGGGGCAAGGGTATCGGGCGTCAGCGGCTGCGGGGTGGGGCACGAAAGCAGAGCGGAGAAGGGGGGTGATGACGTGGGGGACCAATGCTTTGGGAACCTGGGGAAACACACACAATCGGCACCCCTCAGAATGGCACCAGTAGTAAAGAAGACGTGCCATGAGATGGCCCCTGCCCCCCCTGTGCTGGAGAGAGGCGCCAGAAGGAGCAACCGAAAGGGCATGGAATTGTGAGGCTGGGTTCACCCAACCTGTCTGCATCCAGCATGCGCACGCATGTATGTGACGAGTCATGCGACTCGAACGAACGAGCATGCCTAAGACGCAAGTCAACAGAGTAGGGAAACAGGCAGGGCAGGAGAGAACAACATAGCTGCACCACGCGAGTACAGGACGGTGCCCCCTGCCAGGGCTCAGCGAGGCCCTGGTCGACAGCTCCCCCTCCGCACCCCCAATCAACAACGATCGCCGGGTCGCCTGGATGTCACAGGCACACTCATCGGACGTGCCGATGATCGCACAGGCAGTGCGCAGAAACGCAAAGCGTCGACACAGTGAGGTATGATTTCACACGTGTGCGCGACCAAGGAAGGAACAACGTAGCTTCACCATGTGAGCCTACGAGGCCTGGGCCGCAAGCGCGGGGGAGCAGCACTGCGAGGCTGGACGGGGCACGGAAGCGGCGCAAGCCAATAAAGGCAAGCGTCGGGTCCATTGGGGCGACTGCAGGACAAGGCGTCATTTTCCTTGCGCGCCGCACCAAAGCGTCGCCGCTGCCCGAGCGTCGCGTTGAGGATGCTTTAAAGCAATAGGCCCTAGCCTGCAAATAGGCAGCGCCAGTTCCCTCGAAGAGGTGAGCCACGAGGAGAGGAAAGAGAGGAGAGCAGGAGGCCGGCACTGGACAAGGGCAAGGGCTATCCGCTCCGGCGGCGGGGGCGACAGGGACACGCCCACTCCCCCGCCGGCGACGCCGACACCCGAGGCAGCACAAGAGGAGGCCGCGTGACTGACCGAGGGGCCGGACTCCATCTGTTATAGAATTGGGCACCCATTGACACCGGACTTCGTCCGTTTTTTTTCGCCCAAGGCAGCCGCGTTCCCCCGTCGGCCAGTCCGAGCCCCCCCCGCGCGCCCGCGGTGAGTGCGGGGCGGGGGCACGCCCCAAAGGAGCGGGAGGTTTTCGGCCGGAGCCAGGAGGACCTCGAACCTGCCGCGGGCGGGCCTTGGCGCAGAGAGCGCCCGCGCTGCCGCGGCGTGGCGAGCAGGCTCGCTCAGCCGCCGCCTGCAGGCCGCAGCCGCCGCGCTGCCCCTGCTTCCGCCGCCGCCGTCGCGGCCGTCGGCCAGGCGGCCGCCAGCGTGGCTGCCTCCGCCTCCGCCGCTGCCGCCAGCGGCCGCCGCTGCCCGCCGCTCGCGGCGCGGTCTGCCTGTCGCGGCCTGGCCTGCCCGCCAGCCGCGCCTGGGCCTGCGCCAGCTGCAGCAGGGTTCTGAGCAGCGCCCCAGGCGCAAGGCGGCCTAGCGCCAGCTGCCTCGCCCTCCTGGCGCGCGCTGCCTCCTTCTCTGCTTCCTCGGCCGCGCCCTCTCCTTCTCCGCCTCGGCTCAGCTGCGGCGGGGGTCTGGGCGCGGGGCCGGTAGGCGGGTGCGCTGTAGCCCCGTCCCACGCCCGGGAGGTGGGGCCCGCAGGCGGGTGCGCGGTAGCCCCGTCCCACCTCCCACCCCCGTTCCGCTTCTGAGGCCGGCTCGTCGCCAGCAGGCCCCTGTTCCTCTGCGTTCTTGGAGCGGGGGCCCAGGCGTGGGGCCCGCAGGCGGGCGCGCGGCAGCCCCGTCCCACGCCGGGGAGGTGGGTCCCGCAGGCGGGTGCGCGGTAGCCCCGTCCCACCTCCGGCCCCCGCTCCATTCTGGGCCCCTTCCTGGCCGTCTTCGTCGCGCTGCTGTTCGTCGCGGCCGTGGTGGTGGTGGTGGTGGTGGTGGTGGTGGCGGTGCTGGTGGTGGTGCTGGTGGTGTCGGTGCTGGTGGCAGTCTTGCTGCTGGTGGCGGTGGTGGGTCGTGGTGGTGGGCCGTGCTGCTGGTGCTGGTGGCAGTTCTGCTGGCGTGGTCGTGGTGGGGTGGTGGTGGTGGTGCTGGTGGCGTCGGTGCTGGTGCTGTTGGCAGTTCCGCTGCGGGTCGTTGTTGTGGTAGTCGCCGTCGTTGTGCTCGTGGTTGTGGTCGCGGTGGCGGTAGCTGCTGCGTCGCTGCTCTGTGTCGTGGTGGTGCTGGCGCGGGCTCGGGCGTTGGTGCTGCGGGCTGTCGTCGTCGCGCCGGCTGTGGTGGTGCTGCTGCTGGTCGCCGTCTTCGCGCTGCTGGTCGCCGTGGTAGTGGTTGTGCTGGTGGCGTCGTTGCTGGTTGCTGTCGTGGTGGTTATGCTGCTGCTGCTGTTGCTGCTGCTGCTGCTGCTGGTCGTCGCTGCGCTGCCGTCGGTGGAGGTCGCAGTCGTCGTCGTGCTGCTGGTGGTGATTTTGCTGGTAGCCGTCGCTAAGTTGGCGTTGTTGTCGCTGCTGGTGGCCGTGGTAGTGGTGGTGCTGGTTGTCGCCGTCGTAGTCGTAGTGGTGGTGGTGGTGCTGGTCGCTGTCGTGGTGGTTCTGCTGCTGCTGCTGCTGGTCGTCGCGTCGCCGTTGGCAGGGGTCGCAGTCGTCGTCGTGCTGCTGGTAGCGCTTGTGCTGGTAGCCGTCGTAGTGGTCGTGGTGCTGGTGCTGCTGGTAGTCGGCCCCCGCTGCCCCTCGCGCGGGGGCCCGCGTCCTCAGGGGAGCGCCGACAAGAGGTCCCCTCGCCTGGGTGCTACTCCGTCCGTGGCTAGCGTCTCGCTGGGCACGTCCTCTAGCAGGCTGGCCGCAAGGGCGTCGTGAATGGCGAAGGACAGCATGCCAGCCCACCTGTGCAGCAGCGCCGTTGTCAGCGACCCTCGGAGCGCAGCTGGCGCGCCCCGGGCCCGGGCCCGCGCCAAGACCACGAGGAACTTGTACGCTTCCTCGTCCCATCGTCCGCCCGTTTCTGCTCCAGCAACCAAGAGGTAGCTGCGCCGTGAGCCCACGAGCTCGGGGTAGGTGGTCGTGTTGCTGCTGCTGGTGGTCCTGCTTGTTGTTGTCGCTGTAGTTGTAGTGGCCGTCGTGGTGCTGCTGGTCGCCGTGCTGCCCCTGGTCGGCGTCGTGGTGGTGGCGGTGACGCTGGTCGCCGTGCTGGTGGTGGGGGCGTTGCTGGTCGTAGTCGTAGTGGTTGTGGTGGTGGTGGTGGTGCTGCTGCTGCTGTTTGTTGTTGTCGCTGTAGTTGTATTGGTTGTCGTGGTGCTGCTGGTCGCCGTGCTGCTCCTGGTCGCCGTGGTGGTGGTGGTTGTGGTGGTGGTGGTGGTGGTGGTGGTGGTGGTGGTGGTGGTGGTGGTGATGGTGGTGCTGGTCGCCGTGCTGGCGGGTGTGGCGCTGCTGGTCGTAGTCGTGGTAATTGTGGTGGTGGTTCTGCTGCTGCCGCTGCTGCTGCTGCGTGTTGTCGCAGTAGTTGTCGTGGTTCTGCTGGTCGCCGTGCTGCCCCTTGTCGCCGTCGTGGTGGTGGTGGTGCTGCTGCTGCTGCTGCTGCTGTTGCTTGTTGTCGCAGTTGTGGTAGTAGTTGTCGTGTTTCTGTTGGTCGCCGTGCTGCCCCTGGTCGCCGTCGTGGTGGTGGTGCTGGTCGCCGTGCAAGTTGTGGTGGCGCTGCTGGTGGTAGTCGTAGTGGTTGTGGTGGTGGTGGTGGTGCTGCTGCTGCTGCTGCTGCTTCTGCTGCTGCTGCTTGTTGTCGCTGTATTGGTAGTTGTTGTCGTGGTGCTGCTGGTCGCCGTGCTGCCCCTGGTCCCCGTCGTGGTGGTGGTGCTGCTGGTCGCCTTGCTGGTGGTGGTGGCGCTGCTGGTCGTAGGCGTGGTGGTGGCGGTTATGCTGCAGCTGCTGCCGCTGCTTGTCGTCGCAGTTGTGGTAGTGGTTGTCGTGGTTCTGCTGGCCCTCCTGCTGCGCCAGCAGGCGGGCCCCCGGGGTGGGGCCGCGCCCGTTCCACCGCATCAGAAACACGGCGGCAGTCGGCTAGGGGCCGGCGTCTCCGTGTAGCGGGCGTCCGCCAGGAGGTCGGCGAGGTGCGGCTCGTCCCCGTCGACGGCCAGGGTGTGCGGCGGCAACTCCAGCAGCGTGGCCGCGAACGCCCTCTGGGCCGCGACCGCGACCAAGCCTGTCCAGCGGTGTAGGTACGCCGCCCGCGCCGACGCTCGGAGTCGCTGCGGCGCGCTGCGGGCTCTGGCCCTTGCGAGCAGCCCGACGAAGGTCAGGGCCTCCTCGGACCACTTGCCGCCGACTTCCAAGCCCAGCACGACCAATCGGCATCTCCTTGACCCGATGAGCTCGGGGTAGGTCGCTTCCTTCCGGCCCCGCGCGACCGCGAGCTGGACTCCGTCCTCGTCCGCGGCTCTGGGCTGCGCGGTGCCGTCGGTGCGGACTGGCGACACCAGGGTCGCGTCAATCGCCAGCTGCGCTCCTCCCCAGAGCGGCAGGCCGTTCGCGATGACCTCGATCTTGCGCCCGTCGCGGGGGTCGACGCCGTCCACGTTGAGGTCTCGCAGGAGCTGTTCTCTGCGACTCGGCCCCCGGCCTCGCGGCAGATACGTGCAGCCGCTTTCTCCAATGGGATGGATCTCTTCTTGAGCACCCCTGCCCTTGGGCACGCCGCTCTGTGGTCACCTCTGGCGTCCAGTCTGCCTCTGCATCTGCAAGCGCTCGCTGCGAAGGGTAGATCAAATCGCAAGCGCCTGAGGAGCAGGACTCTGAACTCTGCCGGCGGGATGTGGAAGTTTTTTTTTCCCTCTCCCAGTCCCAGTCCCAGTCCCTGGCCGAGTCCGCAGCGAAAGGGGCCGCTGCACCTGGCTCCCTCCGGCTGGCTGGCCCCCTGGCTGGGCTGCCGACGCCCGCGGTCGCCTTAGGCGGCCCGGCGGGCCCGCCGGCCACCGCGCGGTCTTCGCGCCGCCAGCCGCCGCCGCCCGCCGCCCGCCCGGCCGAGCCGCCCTGCGCGCCTCGGCCTCGAAGCCGCGGGAGCGCTCGAGGCCCTGGCCCGGCCGGCTCCGCTCCGTGCCCGGGCAAGGCCGCCCGCGAAGGCCGCCAGAGCTGCCCCAGACCGGCGGCCCGCGGCCGCAGCGCCCGCCGGCCCTGCCCGCCCGCCGTAACCCACGACGTCGGGTCCCAGCTTCGCGTCCAGCATCGCGCTGAGCAGCACGAATGCCCGTTGCCACTGCCCCCTCTTCTCGCCCGCGCTGATCCCAGCACTGTAGCTGATGACACTTGGCGCCGCCTTCGCCTCCCACATCTCGCTGGGCAGCGAGAGAGCCCGCTGCCACTGCTCACCGTTCGTGCACGCGCTTATCCCAGAACTGTAGCTGATGACACTTGGCTCCACCTTCGCCTCCCGCATCTCGCTGAGCAGTGGGAGAGCCTGCTGCCACTGCTCGCCGTTCGTACACGCTCTGATCCCAGGGCTGATCCCAGAGTTGTAGCTGATGGCATCTGGCTCCGACCTCACTTCCCACATCTCGCAGAACAGCGATAGAGCCCGCTGCCACTGCTCGCCTTTCGTGCACGCGCTGATCCCAGAGCTGTAGCTGATGGCATCTGGCTCCGACCTCACTTCCCACATCTCGAAGAGCAGCGATAGTGCCCGCTGCCACTGCTCGCCTTTCGTGCACGCGCTGATCCCAGAGCTGTAGCTGATGACATTCGGCTCCGATCTCACTTCCCACATCCCGCTGAGCAGTGATAGAGCCCGCTGCCACTGCTCGTCTTTCGCGCACGCGCTGATCCCAGAGCTATAGCTGATGGCATCTGGCTCCACCTACGCCTCCCACATCTCGCTGAGCAGCGAGAGAGCCCGCTGCCACTGCTCGCCGTTCGTCCACGCGCTGATCCCAGAGCTGTAGCTGATGACACTTGGCTCCACCTTCGCCCCCCGCATCTCGCTGAGCAGTGGGAGAGCCTGCTGCCACTGCTCGCCGTTCGTACACGCTCTGATCCCAGGGCTGATCCCAGAGTTGTAGCTGATGGCATCTGGCTCCGACCTCACTTCCCACATCTCGAAGAGCAGCGATAGTGCCCGCTGCCACTGCTCGCCTTTCGTGCACGCGCTGATCCCAGAGCTGTAGCTGATGACATTCGGCTCCGATCTCACTTCCCACATCCCGCTGAGCAGTGATAGAGCCCGCTGCCACTGCTCGTCTTTCGCGCACGCGCTGATCCCAGAGCTATAGCTGATGGCATCTGGCTCCACCTTCGCCTCCCACATCTCGCTGGGCAGTGAGAGAGCCCGCTGCCACTGCTCGCCTCTCGCGCATGCGCTGATCCCAGAGCTGTAGCTGATGACACTTGGCTCCACCTTCGCCTCCCACATCTCGCTGAGCAGTGGGAGAGCCTGCTGCCACTGCTCGCCGTTCGCGCACGCGCTGATCCCAGAGTTGTAGCTGATGGCATCTGGCTCCAACCTCACTTCCCCAATCTCGCAGAGCAGCGATAGAGCCCGCTGCCACTGCTCGCCTTTCGTGCATGCGCTGATCCCAGAGCTGTAGCTGATGACACTTGGCTCCACCTTCGCCTCCCGCATCTCGCTGAGCAGCGGGAGAGCCTGCTGCCACTGCTCGCCTTTCGCGCACGCGCTGATCCCAGAGCTGTAGCTGATGACATTCGGCTCCGATCTCACTTCCCGCATCCCGCTGAGCAGTGATAGAGCCCGCTGCCGCTGCTCGTCTTTCACGCACGCGCTGATCCCAGAGCTATAGCTGATGGCATCTGGCTCCACCCTCACCTCCCCCATCTCGCTGGGCAGTGAGAGAGCCCGCTGCCACTGCTGGACTCCAGGCGGGGGCGGGGCGGGCGGGGGGCGGAGGACGAGGGGGCGAGGGGCACGAGCCGGGCCCGAACGGCGAGGGGCGAACGACGCGGGGGCAGGGGGCGAACGAGACGGGACCGAGACGAGGGGACAGAGGCCGAGGGAAAGGCGAGGGGAAGGGGCGGTGGGCGTCGTCGGTGCGCGCCGTCGTGCAGGTGCGCGTCGTTGCTGCTGGTCGTTGCAGGTGGTGCCCGTCGTTGCTGGGGGTCGTGTTGCCGGTCGGAATTGGTGCTGGTCGCAGTCGTGGTGGTGCTGCTGCTGGTCGTGGTCGTGTTGGTGGTGCTGCTGCTGGTTGCGGTCGTGGTAGTGCTGCTGCTGGTCGCAGTCGTGGTGCTGCGAGTCGTAGTCGTGGTGGTGTTGGGGGTCGCAGTCGTGGTGGTGCTGGTTGTGCTGGTGGTGCTGGTCTTGGTGATGGTGCTGCTGCTGCTGGTCGCAGTCGTGGTGGTGCTGCTGCTGGTCGCAGTCGTGGTGTTGCTGGTCGCAGACGTGGTGTTGCTGGTCGCAGTTTTGGTGCTGCTGGTCGCAGTCGTGGTGGTGCTGCGGGTTGCAGTCGTGGTGGTGGTGCTGGTAGTGGTTCTGCGGCTGGTCGCAGTCGTGGCGCTGCAGGTCGCAGTCGTGGGGCTGCTGGTCGCAGTCGTGTTGGTGCTGCTGGTCGCGGTTGTGGTGGTGCTGCTTGTCGTGGTGGTGCTAGTCGTAGTAGTGGTGGTGCTGGCGGTGCTGGTGGTGCTGGTGCTGCTGTTGGCCGTGGTGGTGGAGCTGCTGGTGGCAGTCGTGGTGGTGCTGCTGCTGGTCGTGGTCGTGGTGTTGCTGGTGGCAGTCGTAGTGCTGCTGGTAGTAGTCGTGGTGGTGCTGCTGGTCGCGGTCGAGGTGGTGCTGCTGCTGGTCGTGGTGGTGCTGCTGCTGGTCGCGGTCGTGGTGGTGCTGGTTGTAGTCGTGGTGGTGCTGCTGGTCGCAGTCGTGGTATTGCTGGTTGTGGTGGTGGTGCTCGTCGTGGTGGTGCTGCTGGCCGCTGTCTCGGTGCTGCTGCTCCCGGTTGCGGTCGTGGCGCTGCTGGTCGCAGTCGTGGTGCTGCTGGTCGTGGTCGTGGTAGTGCTGCGGGTCGCGGTCGTAGTGGTGGTACTGCTGGTCGTTGTCGTGGTGGTGCTGCTGCTGGTCGCAGTCGTGGTGCTGCTGGTCGCAGTCGTGGCGCTGTTGGTCACAGTCGTGGGGCTGCTGGTCGCCGTCGTGTTGGTGCTGGTGGTGCTGCTGGTCGTGGTGGTGCTGCTGGTCTCTGTGGTGCTGCTGCTGGTCGCAGTCGTGGTGGTGCTGGTCGTAGTGGCGGTGGTGCTTCTGGTCGCAGTCGTGGTAGTGGTAGTGCTGGTTGTGCTGGTGATGCTGGTCGTTGCGGTGCTGCTGGTCGCAGTTTCGGTACTGCTGCTCCCGCTTGCAGTCGTGGTGCTGCTGGTCGCTGTCGTGGTGCTGCTGGTCGTGGTCGTGGTCGTGGTGGTGCTGCGGGTCGCAGTCGTGGTGGTGGTGCTGCTTGTCGCAGTCGTGGTGGTGCTGTTGCTGGTCGCAGACGTGGTGCTGCTGGTCGCAGTCGTGGCGCTGTTGGTCGCGGTCGTGGGGCTGCTGGTCGCCGTCGTGGTGGTGCTGGTGGTGCTGCTGGTCGTTGTGGCGCTGCTGCTGGTTGCAGTCGTAGTGGTGCTGGTCGTAGTCGTGGTGGTGCTGCTGGTCGCAGTCGTGCGGCTGTTGGTCGTGGTGGTGGTGGTGCTGGTCGCAGTCGTGGGGCTGCTGGTCGCCGTCGTAGTGGTGCTGGTGGTGCTGCGGTGCTGCTGGTCGTGGTGGTGGTGCTGCTGGTCGTAGTCGTGGTGATGCTGCTGGTCGCAGGCGTCGTGCTGCTGGTCGCAGCCGTGGTGCTCCTGGTCGTGGTCGTGGTGGTGCTGCGGGTCGCTGTCGTGGTGGTGGTGCTGCTGGTCGCAGTCGTGGCGCTGCTGGTCGCGGTCGTGGGGCTGCTGGTCGCCGTCGTGGTGGTGCTGGTGGTGCTACTGGTCGTGGTGGTGCTGCTGCTGGTTGCAGTCGTGGCGGTGCTGGTCGTAGTCGTGGTGGTGCTGCTGGTCGCAGTCGTGGTGGTGCTGCTTGTGCTAGTGGTGCTGGTGGTGCTGCTGGTCGTGGTGGTCGTGGTGCTGCTGGTCGTGGTCGTGGTGGTGCTGCGGGTCGCTGTCGTGGTGGTGGTGCTGCTGGTCGCAGTCGTGGTGGTGCTGCTTCTGGTCGCAGTCGTGGTGCTGCTGGTCGCAGTCGTGGTGCTGCTGGTCGCAGTCGTGGGGCTGCTGGTCGCCGTCGTAGTGGTGCTGGTGGTGCTGCTGGTCGTGGTGGTGGTGCTGCTGGTCGTTGTGGTGCTGCTGCTGGTTGCAGTCGTGGCGGTGCTGGTCGCAGTCGTGGTTGTGCTGCTGGTCGCAGTCGTGGTGGTGCTGCTTGTGCTGGTGGTGCTGGTGGTGCTGCTGGTCGTGGTGGTGGTGGTGCTGCTGCTGGTCGTAGTCGTGGTGGTGCTGCTACTTGTCGCAGTCGTCGCGCTGCTGGTAGCAGTCGTGGTGCTGGTCGTTGTCGTGGCGGTGCTGGTCGTAGTGGTGGTGGTGCTGCTGGTCGCAGTCGTGGTAGTGCTGGTTGTGCTGGTGGTGCTGGTCGTGGTGGTGCTGCTGGTCGCTGTCTCGGTGCTGCTGCTCCCGGTTGCAGTCATGGTGTTGCTGGTCGCTGTCTGAGTGCTGCTGGTCGTGGTCGTGGTCGTGGTGGTGCTGCGGGTCGCTCTCGTGGTGGTGGTGCTGCTGGTCGCAGTCGTGGTGGTGCTGCTGCTGCTGCTGGTCGCAGTCGTGGTGCTGCTGGTCGCAGTCGTGGCGCTGCTGGTCGCAGTCGTGGGGCTGCTGGTCGCCGTCGTGGTGGTGCTGGTGGTTCTACTGGTAATGGTGGTGGTGCTGCTGGTCGTTGTGGTACTGCTGCTGGTTGCGGTCGTGGTGGTGCTGGTCGTAGTCGTGGTGGTGCTGCTGGTCGCAGTCGTGGTGGTGCTGCTTGTGCTGGTGGTGCTGGTGGTGCTGCTGGTCGTGGTGGTGGTGGTGCTAATGGTCGTAGTCGTGGTGGTGCTGCTGCTGGTCGCAGTCGTGGTGCTGCTGGTCGCAGTCGTGGTGCTCCTGGTCGTGGTCGTGGTGGTGCTGCGGGTCGCTCTCGTGGTGGTGGTGTTGGTGGTGGTTCTGCTGCGGGTCGCAGTCAAAGCGATGGTGCTGCTGGTCGCCGTTGTGGTGGTGGTGGTACTGCTGACCTCCTCGTGGTGCCCGCTGCCGCGTCGGGGGTGCTCCCGGCGCTCGTCGGAGCCCCCCGGGGCGGCCGCGCTGGCCGCGGCGCCAAGCATCAGGGGCGTGCTGCAGCGTGGGCAGCGCGGTGAAGGCTCGTCCCGCGCACGGCCCGCTCTGTGACCGGAGGAGGGCGCGGTCCGGTGGCGTGGAGGCGTTGAGGAGCTGCTGTCGGGCTGTGTTCTCCAAGACTCTGGCGGCCCAGAACTGCCAGCCGCGCGCCCATTCGCCGTGATCCCGTTCGTGCGTCGGCGGTGGCCGGGCGCCCTGCGCAAGGTCGTGCCAGTTGGGCGCTGCGAAGCCGTGTGCCGAGAGGTGCTCCTTTGCCCTGCTGGCTTGTTGTAAGCACCCGGGAGCGGCCGGCAGCGGGCCCCGGTCCAGCTCGCTCAGTGCTGCGCAGATCTGGTTTGTGAGATCGGGGCAGCGTTCGCGGAGCATCTGCGCGCAGTCTGCCCAGGAAGCCCACCAGGCCGCCGGCGCCGTCCTGGACGCGCTTCGCAGGCCGAGCCCTCCCATGCAAAGCGGCAGTTGGCAGCGTTGGCGCGCTGACGTGCCTTCTGCGACAGCTTCTTGCGGGAGTTACAGCAAGTCGGCGAGCGCGTTGGCCAGGTTGTCGTCGTGCGCTGCGGCGAAAGCGGCCGTGTCCTCGGGAGCCAGCGCCCTCAGGAAGAAGTTGGCCCGGGGGTTGGCGCACATGCTGAGCAGGAGCCACGAGGATTGCAGGTCCCCGGCGCGTGGTATCCTCGCGAGCAAGCGGCGGTGTTCTTCCAGGATGGCCTCCAGGTGTTGGGCGACGAAAGCTCCCTGGCCCATCGGGGCCCCCAGAACGACCAAGCCCTGGGCTTCCGACGGGTGTCTGCTCCTCCTACCCACAACTGGTCTGCTGCTGAGCCCAGCTCTCGGATGCCAAGTGGCTCCTGCCCTCCCCTGTTCCAGACTCGCGTCTTCCCCATGTTCACGCTGATGCCGCAATGCGTATGGAGGGCGTCCCGCACGGCGTTGAAGAGGAACCTCGCTCTGTCTGGCGTGGTGGCCAAGTACACGTCGTCAAGGAAGGCGAAGATGCGCTCCCCGGGCCTGAGTATGCCTTGGACCTGTTGCAGCGCGGGGTGTTGTCCCAAGGCAAACAGGGCTGGCATGAGCGGGTCTCCTTGCTCTCCTCCCTCCGCCTGGTCGATCGCGTGCCCTTGTCCCGCGTCGTCGTGCCACCAGTACTGCGCCCTTTCCCCGTAGAAGAGGCGGCAGAAGGGAAGCAGTGCGCTACCCCTGGCCAGGTTTGCTAATCCTTCGCGCATCGAGTTTCTGGACACGAGGTCGAATGCCCCGATTCCGTCTATGGAAACCACCCTGGCTGCCGGGTCACCCTGGGTGAGAGTCTGCACGAGGTGCGCCACGAGGCTCAAGCAAGGGGTCAAGACCTCGCCGGCCCTCGGGGGAGGGGGTCGGGCCCTGGCCGCGCGCGATGGCACCCTCGCCTGGGCCAGCTTGCGCGCCTGCCGACTTGCCGCGTCGCCGCTCGGGGGGAGCAGCGGCGGCGCGGCGAGAGGGGAGGCGACGCGCACGCAAGGCGAGCACAGGAGCAGCGCCTCAGGGGGAGGCACGCGAGGCAGCACCGCAAAGGAAGGAGGGAGGCAGAGGAGGCGGCGGGGGCACCCGCACAGGCGGACCCCGCCAGGAGAGGGGAGGAAGAGGAGAAGGCGGGAGCAACCGCACAGGCGGACCCCGCCAGGAGAGGAGCGGCACGGCGGAGCTCCCGCCTGACCCCGGCCCTCCACCAGGCCTGTGGGAGGTAGTGGGCGGGCGTCGCTGCACTTCGGAGGCCCACGCGAGGAAGAGCAGCCAGCTCAGGCAGGGGCCCACTTTGATCAGGGGTGAGTCGTTCGGGCCCCTCCGTTTTCGGCGGGCCGCCGAAGCAGAGGCAGAGGGAGAGCAGGACCAGCAATACCAAGGACAACACACGCACACCAAGCGGCATCGCAACGACCACAACCACGACAACTGGAAACAGCATCGAGACCACGACGCGCAGGGTGTCACGCGCACAGGGTGCACCCACGGCCTTCGCCAAGAGGGGCCACTCGAGGCAAGGGAAGCTGGGCAGGCGCCGTGCCGGGCAGCTTTCACTCGCAAAGGCTTTCGACGGGCTCGCCGACGAGCCGCGAGACAAGACCTAGAGGACGCGATCGCCGAGCACATCGCGATCACGAAGCAGGCGACGGCCTTTCACCGCCGGCGCGCGTTTTTGACAGAGAGGATCGGCAGAAGGTTTGTCGCCACCCGACGAGCGCAAGAGGCGGCCAAGGGTCAGGCGCCGCGCGACGAGGACCAGCTGCCGCAGCAACGCCCCGACCAGAGCAACTTGTCTCTGCACCCTGGGCGGCCGCGTTACGGTCAGGCCCCGCGCCGACCGCACAAGAAAACCGAGGCTGACAAAGAGATGGCGCGGGCGGGGCTACCCGGGGAGCACGCCTGCTTTGGCCCGGCGCCACGCGCACCACCGCAAGCGCACCCACCAGCACCACAACGAGCAACAAACAACCTCACAACAAGCACCACCACAAGCACCGCGCCAAGCACACCACCTCAAGCGCACCCACCACCACAACAAGCACCCACCACCACAGCTAGCGCCCTGGAGGGGGGTGGGTAGTCCCAGCTCCGGCGCCCGCACCGGCGACAGGACGCTGACCGAGAGATGGCGCGGGCGGGTGTCGGCGAAGTCGCGCCGCTCATAACCAGAGCGCACATCCGCCACGGGCGCCCCGAGAGCAGGCAGCACCGCAGCGACAAGAGCGACGGCAGCCAGCACCAAGAGCAGCAGCACAACGACTACGACCAGCAGCACCACCACGACGACAAGCATCGACAGCAGCAGCACCACCACCACGACAACCAGCACCAGCGGCAGCAACGCCACCGCGACGAGCGGTTGCAGCACCGCGACGACCAGCAGCAGCAGCAGCACCACCACCACCACACCACCACCAGCACCACCGCAACCACCACGACACCAGCACCAGCAGCAGCACCGCAATCACCACGACGACACCCTGCACCACCACCGCCACCACCACGAGGACAACCGGCACCAGCGGCAACACCGTCACCACGACCAGCTGCAGCAGCACCACCGCGACGACCAGCAGCAGCAGCAGCAGCAGCAGCAGCAGCAGCAGCAGCAGCAGCAGCACAACCACCACGACGACCACCAGCAGCAGCAGCAGCTGCAGCACCGCAACCACCACGATGACACCCTGCACCACCACCGCCACCACCGCGACCACGGACGGCAGCCCCTTCACAGCAGCAGCAGCAGCAGCAGCAGCAGCAGCAGCAGCAGCAGCAGCAGCGGCAGCAACGGCAGCAGCAGGCACCGCGGCAGCGGCCAGGACGACAGCAGCCAGCAGGGCCCTCCGCCACCCCAGACGGCCATTCCAGCCGTCTGGCCGCCAGCCCTCCAGCCCCTTCCGAGGGGGGGGGCTGGCGTCAGCTGCAGCCCGTGCACCCCAGGGGAAGAACCCCATTCCCACGGTAGGACTCCCCTGGGGCCAGTTCCCCATCGGGGTTCGCGCGGCTCCGCTGCGGTCCCCGGCGGCGCCCTGGCTTGTGCAGCAAGCCCACAGGAGCAACGCGACAACATGTTCGACCACAAGAGGCGGTACGACTCCCAACAGTGGCGCCGCGAGCAGCAGCACAACGACGACGACAAGCAGCAACATCAGCAGCAACACCACCACGACAACCATCACAAGCGGCAGCGTCGCCACCGGGACCAGCTGCAGCGGCACCACCACGACGACCAGCAGCAGCAGCAGCACCACCACCACCACCACCACCACCACCACCACCACCACCGCCACCACGACCAGCAGCAGCAGCAGCAGCAGCAGCAGCAGCAGCAGCAGCAGCATGGCAACCACCACAACGACCAGCACCACAGCGACCAACACCAACGACCAGCAACACAGTATGCACCAAACGACCAGCGCCACAGCACGCACCCAACGACCAGCACCACAGCACCACAACCCGCAGCCAACGACTGCGGACGGCAGCCCCCTGGCAGCAGCAGCAGCAAAAGCAGCAGCAAAAGCAGCAGAAGCGGCAGCCAGCAGGGCCCTCCGCCACCCCAGACGGCCATTCCAGCCGTCTGGCCGCCAGCCCTCCAGCCCCTTCCGAGGGAGGGGGCTGGCGTCAGCTGCAGCCCGTGCCCCCCAGGGGAAGAGCCCCATTCCCACGGCAGGACTCCCCTGGGGCTAGTTCCCCATCGGGGTTCGCGCGGCTCCGCTGCGGTCCCCGGTGGCGCCCCGGCTTGTGCAGCAAGCCCACAGGAGCAACGCGACAGCCACGGGCGCCGCGAGAGCAGGCAGCACCGCAGCGACCAGAGCGACAGCAGCCAGCACCCAACTGCGGCCACAGGCGGAGGAAAACTACGACGGCGACCAAGACAGCAACGAGCAGCACCACGACGGCGACCAGCAGCACCAGCAGCACCGCCACAGCCACGACGGCGCAAAACAACGGCAGCAGCACCACCGCCACGACAGCCACCAGCAGCACCACCGGCACCACGAGCACCACCCAGCGCTGCACTGACCCAGACTCCCGGATTGACTTGGAGATCTCAGGAAGAACATATTCTTGGAGGGACTCTGAAGTCTCAGGGGGAGGTTAAGGGAGGAGCGCGCGAGGGCAGGCAGTCCCGTGGCGACCAGAGCGACGGCAGCCAGCACACAGCCACGGCAGCAGGCGGCGGCTCCCAACGACCGCGCACACGACGAGAGCGACCACCACGACAGCGACCAGCAGCAACACCAACGCCACCGCCACGACAGCGCCCAACAGCAACACCACGACAGCGACCGGCAGCGCCGCCACCAGCACCAGCACCAGCAGTGACACTGGCAGCACCACCTGTACCACGACAGGAGCTGCGCACACCAGGGAGGGACCAGCGAGACGCGCTGCACGGCTACCGCGGACAGCGCGTGGGCGAGGCGAGCCACCCAGGGCCACCGCACAACGACGCTGCCCCAGCCACGCCGCCGCGCGGACGCTCGCAAGCGGACCTGCCCGAGCCAGCGGGCGAGGTTTCGGGCGAATCCGCGCCCCGGCCGGCGGAAGCCGAGACTCCCCCTCGAGAGCTCTTCGGTTCGCCGGGCCGGTCTCTGTCGCCGCTGCCTGCCGGACAGAGCCACTTCAGCGCCGTGTTCGGACAGGCGCCTGCGGCCGAATGGGACTTCTCTGGGCTGTTCGCGCCGCCGCGGGAGACAGCCGAACGCGCGGCGGCGGAGGAGCAGCAACAGCCGCAGCAACCACAGCAGGGGCCGGACCCCCAGGAGCCGGAGCAGCCAGAGGCCAGCGAGGTTTGCTACATGTGCCAGGAGCCGCTCGACGACTCGAGGGTGCAATGGCCCGACTGCGGCCACGTCCCGCACTGCTTCCACGCAACCTGCCTGGCCCGGTTTCGCCCTCTCCGCCGCGGACTCGCACACCTGCGGAACTCGGGCGGCGATTCCAGCCGGGTAGAGGACGCAGCGTGCCCACTCTGCAACCACAGGTGGGGCGACGGCCCGAACTCTGCCGCGCGGCTCGCGGAGCTGGCGGGCCACCTTGGGCGCGGCGGGGGACTACCTTTCCGAGGGTGCCGCTGCCTGCCTTGCCGGGGAGTTGCAGGCGACCCGAGTTCCGACGAGGAGCGGGCCAACCGGTACCGAGGGGGGCCCCTCGTGCTGCCGGAGGGGCCGGCACCGCACGCGATCACCATGTGCCCGCGCCACCCGGAGCGACCCATGCGATGGCGGCACTCGCGC